GGACACCTGGTACAGCCGCAGCAAGGAGCCATGGGTCTGGTCAAAAGAGGGAGGAGTCAGGGGGAGTCAGGACCCTAACACAGCACCCATAACCTGCAAACTGCTGCCCCAGGGCTTGGCTGCCAGGTCTGGGTGAGCCCTGTTCTTGTCCTAGGAGTGGGGGCTGAGTGAGAGGAGCCTTGGGTGTGAACCTTCCCAAATTGCACTAGTGCAGAGGCACACATTGCTAAAGTTAAGACCCTGTCCGGCAGTCACTCTGACCATTACCAATACTTTTTTCCTCAGAGGCACATAAAACACTGCATGCTGCGGTCAGTGGGATCTAAGCCGTAACGCAGGACACTAGCTGACAACTGTGATGACAACAGCTCAGGATTGCCTCTCAGTGCTCTGAGAATATGCCACTGAACCTGATCCTGCAACAACTCTCAAAACAGAGACTCCTACCATCTTACAGACACTGAAACTACAGCACAGGAAGGCTGAACAACTCCCCTAAGGTGGTAAGCCAGGACGTGGCAGAACAGGATTGACACCTAGGCTGGCCTGATCTAGATCTTGGGTCTAACCACTGCAGGACACACTTGTGCAAATGGGGCCCAAGCTTCCAGTCCTCTCCACCACCCAGAACCCACTCTTCTTGACCCGTTTGCCCCCTGCCCTCTACCTGGTGCCGGGCAGGCAGGCTGCCCCCACGCTTGTGCCATGAGACCTGGACGTGGGCCTGTCCCTGAACCACACAATTCAAATCTAGGGTCTGCCCCTCGGCCACGTGGGAGGAAGAGGGCTCAATGCGGATGGGTGAGGTGTTACCTGGGGCTGGGGGATAAGAGGCCATGGTTACACAGGTTCTCCAAGGCCTTCCCAGCCTCTCCTCCTTTCACATTACAGTCCAGCCCAGTGCTCCACTTACGATAGGCAAAGTTGGCCCCCTGGGTGCCTGTGACTGTAACTGTGATGGTGGCCTCCTGGCCACTGCCTGCCTGACAGACATACTCTCCCGCGTCCACTGGGGAGGCCTGGAAGATGTATAGGCGGGAGCCACGGACCTGGGCAGCCATGACAGGGCTGTAAGAGGCCTTCCGAGAGTCCAGCAGGGGCCCCATACTTGTCCCCCAGCCAGTGACCCCTATAGCCCACCACCCATGGCCCCTGATGGATGCCAGGAGCCAAGTACCTGGTGCCGGGCGGGAAGACTGCCACCACGCTTATACCATGTGACCTGTGAGTGGGCCTGCCCTGCCACCATGCAGTTGAGATCCAGTGTCTGCCCTTCAGCCACCGTGGAGGATGAAGACTCAATTCTGACAGGTGGGATGGGTCCTGGGGCTGTGGGGATAGGGGGAGGGTAGTGGATGCTCTCCAGGAGACAGGGCAAGAACTGCTCACCTGCAGCTGGCTTAGCCCTGTGATCTGGGGCCAGCCCCTGTCTCCGGGGTTTGGTGACCCTGCCTTGAAACCCTCAGCTCAGTAACCCTGTTAGAGGACGTAGGGCAGAACCTCACAGCAGGGAGGAAGAGAACCAGAGATGAGGCAGTGAGGCTAGGAGGGAGGAAAGGGAAGCAGGAGCAGAAACAAGGGAGTGACGAGGCCAAGGACAGTGAGACGAGATGGTGCAGGTAACTCAGGGTAGGGCCCTGCAGCCAGAGCTTGAATGGCCTCTGGCCCTAGCTAGTACAGGAGTCACGTGAACCTCGTTTCCTAGAAGGTTTCAGCCTCTTGCATCTTTCTGTGTCACTGGGATCCACTCACCAGGGATGGAGCCAGAAGGTTCAATGGTGACCAGGACAGAGGTCTCTATGTGTTCAGAGCCAAGGACCACATGGCACACGTACTCGCCCGAGTCAGCAGGGGATACTTGGTGTAGTCTCAGCAGGGGGCCGTGGGTCTGTGTGGATGGGATGAGTTGGGGGTTGTGCAGGGCCCAAGTGCCCCTAGCCATCCATCCCCTCTAGCAGGCTGGCCCTGGGAGCGGCTCTACCTGGTGTCGGGTAGGAAGGCTGCCTCCACGCTTGCGCCATGTCACTTTGGCCTGTCCAGGCACCACACAGTTTAGATCCAGGGTTTGTCCCTCGGCCACATGGGAGGAGGAAGACTCAATGCGGATGGGTGGAGTGCCGCCAGTAGCTGAGCACAGAGAGGCTGGTTAGAGGTCCATCCTTGAACCTCACTGACAGCCTTGGCACAGGGCTTCACTCAGAAGGACTGATGGGAGTCTTTCAAGGACTGGAACAGTCGTTCTGCCTTGGCATGACCAGTTGAGAGAGCCCCTTCCTTCCACACCTCCAGCTCCGGGCCTATCTGCCCTCAGGACCTCGAGGTGACAGGCTGCAGACACTCAAGGGATTTCTCTGGCAGGCTGGGCATGAGGGTGCATAGTAATGATGCCGCTCCCTTCCCAGAGCACTACCCTAGTCTCCCTACACTCTCCACTGGCCTCATCTAACCTAAGCATACTCTCACTTAGTAGGTGTTCAAATCACACTCACAACCAACAAGTAACCTACAAATGGTATGATCTGGGACAAGGAAATTGAGGTCCCTAGAGGTTAAAGAACTAGTTCAAAGATGATAAAGGACACGGTCAGGATTTGAACTCAGGTCACCCTAACTCCTGGCTCAGTGTGGCCAGTGACATTGCTATTTACTGTAAGATTCCGAAGTAGTACTCTCACTAGGGCCTGAGGTAAGCTGGATGGAGAAACATTCACCACATTCCCAGCCCTCTGGCTCCCAGAACCAGTGGCAGAGAGTCACACAGGACACCTCTGTGTCCTAATGGCCCTGGAGAGACACAAGCACCTTTCCCTGAAACTGGAAGAGCCTACAGCCCTGCTTCTCCCAGCCCCACTGGCACCTCACCTGGGGTGTAGCTGGGGCCCAAGTGGGTGCTGTGGAGAACAGAGACCACAATGGAAGCTTCCTTGGGTCCCAAGTCACTCTCCACTCGGCACACATATTCTCCAGAATCTGCTGGTGAGACTTGGGGTAGCCGTAGCCGGGAGCCGTGGACCTGGACCAGGTGGGACAGATGTATGTGAAGGATGGGGCTGTGGTCACCGATTCCTCAAGGCCTCGGTGGTTCAGTCATCCAAATCCCAGGCTCTGCACTCTGAGCCATACATGCCAGGCTAGGAGCTGGGAAGGATGGAACTGCCCTGGTCCTGTAGCATGGGAGTGCTGGGAAGCAGAAGGCATGCCCCCTGCACATAGGACACCCCTAGCCAGAGCTCTTGCCCCCTAGACTCTCCCCCAGGCTGGGAAAACCTCCTACCTGGGCATGGGGAGGCAGATTGCCCCCTCGCTTGTACCATGTGATCTGGGTATACGTCAGCCCCATCACTGCACAGTTGAGATCAAGTGTCTGCCCTTCAGTCACAGATGGTGATGAGGACTCGATCCTGACTGGCAATGAGCTAGCACCTGAGGCTGCAGTCACAGTATTGTAAGTACACTTTAGGGAGTCCTGGCTCATCCTCCCCATGTCCTCAGCCCCAGAGGCCCCTTACCTGAGAGTACCACCACCTGAATGCGGGCCTGGGCGGTGCCTGTGGGGCTAGTGGCCACACAGAGGTAGAAACCAGCATCGGCAGGCGTGATGGCTGGGATGACCAGTGTGGGGATGTCCATGTTCTCTGACCGGGCCTGCCACATGGAGACAGAGCTCAGGAAGGGGGAGGGAAAGGTGTTTGGTCAGGGCAAAGAGGTATAAACAGGGCAGACTGGGGAGGAACAGGCACCAAATCAAGGCCCAGTGGGGCTCCAAGGACCATTAAATTTGGGGGGTGCATAGGATAGGGCAGTGAAAAGGAAATGGACTGTCAGGGAGACTTGTTGGGGTGCAGGGAATGAGTTGAAGTATAAGGAGCCTAAGGAGAGAGGAGGAATGGAGGGGCAGGTGGGAAGTGCTGGACCTCTACTGAGCTTCACATCAACTCACCTGTGGGGGCAGACTGCCCGCCTCCTTCTTCCAGGTGATGCTGGCACTGGGCACACCTGAAGCTCTACAGTACAGCCTGACGGTGCGGCCCTCATGCACCTGTGTTCTCTCAGGACTCACCTGGACCCTGGGCCCACTACCCCCTGTAGACAGAACTCCATGAGGACACCTCTCTGGGCCACTCCCAGCCCCTCCCCCACCTCGACCCTGCCACCTTACCATGCACCTGGAGCATAGCCCTGGCCACTTGCTGCCCAGCACTGCTGAGGGCACGGCACAGGTACTGGCCCTGATCTGAGGGTTCAACCGCTGGCAGGCGCAAGATGCCACCAAGAATCTGAGCCTTCTGAGGGAGCTGGCCGCCAGGACCCCCTGGTGTAGAGACATGAGATCAGTACCCCATGGGACTAGCTGAGTCCTGCTCCTGTCCTCCACATCCAGAAGAGCTGGAGGCTGAGTGTCTCTATTGCTGTGTCCTTACCTGTCCACTCCAGGGTGGGTGTGGGGTTCCCTGTAGCACTGCAGCGGAACTCAGCCAACTGCCCAGGCTGCACGGTGAGCTGTGGTGGGTGGATGGAGACCACAGGAGCAGTTGAAGTGCCTGAGACTGACAAGGGAGGAACAAGGAAATGTGGTCAGGGTCCAACTCACAACTACAGCCGCTTTGTCACCTTCTGCTGCTACCCTAGCTCTGAACAGCCATTTGTCCATACAGTAACCAGACAGAGCTTTGAAAATACCAGTAGCATCTTGCTGCTTCCCTACCTAAGACCTGCCCATTGCTCCTTTCCTTCCCACCTTCCATCTGTACGTCCAATCCCTCAGTTCTTCTCTTTCTCCCAGTAAGGGTTTCACAATGTTGTTCAGACTCCTTGAACTCACAATCCTTCTGCCTCAGTCTCCCAACTGTTAGGATTAGTGGCATGTGCCACCATGTCTAGTTCCTATGACTTTTGTTTTGTTTTTGTTTTTTGTTTTGAGACAAGGTCTCTGTAGCCTCAGCTGGCCTGGAACTCACTATGTAGATTGGGTAGGCCTTGATATCACAGAGATCAGCCCGCCTCTGCCTCCTGAGTGCTGGGATTAAAGGTGTGTGCCACCATGCCCAGCTTCCCATGATTTAAAAAAATATGTATTTATTTTAGTATGTGTGTACAAGCACGAGTGCATGGCAGGTACCCTCATAGGGCAGAAGAGGGCACAGATACCCTGGAGCTGGAGTTACAGGAGGTTGTAAGCTATCTAACATGAGTGTTGGGAATTGAACTCAGGTAGTCTGAAAGAGCAGCAATACCTTTAACCCCTGAGGCATTTCTCCAGCCTTCCCCTGACTAAACTCCCAACTCTGACCAACCCATAAATTGCCTGTTTTTACCAAACAGGAACTTCAAGTTCCTATCTACCCTTCCTCCTCCAACTCCAGCCAGGTTGGCCTTACTGCCCCTCAAATTCACAGACATGCTCCTGCCTCAGGGCTGTTGCACATGCAGCAGGTTCTGCCAATAACAGTGCTGTGCTGTTCAGCTCTCTAAACTGACTCAGTACCTTCTTCAGATCTCTACCTAGATGGCACTCCTTAGAGAGGTGGTTCCTTGAGGCAGCCACAGTACCCAGTCTATTTCTCCTTTTTTTTTTTCCCAATATGTAGTCCATACCAGTCATGATATGAACTCAAGGTCCTCCTGCCTCAACCTCCTGAGTGCTGTGATTACAGGTCTGCACCACCACACCCAGATCCCCTTCACTTCTTGCTCTCTGCACTGGTCACTCTCGTCCCTAGCACTCATCACCATTCGAAAGTATCTTATTTCTGTTCCCTCACTAGAGTCACCTCAACTAGAACACACACTTCAGGAGGAACAAGAACTTGTTTGTCCTGTGCCCTGCTTTTTTAGAGCCTAGACCTGAGTCTCAAATGCAACAGTTGCTCAGAAACAATTCATGCATTAGAAATAGCCCATAGCCCTAGTGGGTGTGTAGGGAGAACCCTGGGGCCACTCAGGTCACAACAAGGCATACCCTGCACGTGGAGTGTGGCTGTGCCCTGGTCCATGGCGAACATGTTGGAGCCAGTACACACATAGGTTCCTGCATCACTTGGCTGCACGTTCCGAATGGTCAGGATGCCGTTGAAGTCCATGGCACGTGAGGGCAGCTTTCCATTGTGTAGGCGGGTCCACACCAGGGTATAGGCGGGAGACTGCAGTGCAGGGTTGGGTAAGAGGCATGCATGGGTTCAGGGAACCTAGAAGACAGACTTTTCCACCCCCTGCCTGCCTGCCCACCTTGCTCTTGGCTGTGCAGATGAAGGTGACGTCAGCTCCAGGGCGCACGCTCTGGCTCCGCTGCTCCTCCACCGTCACTATGATGGGTTTGCTAGGAGCTTCTGTGGATGGGAAGCCCCCAGTGAGTGGCCCCATTCTGTGTTTTCTTTTTTTTTTTTTTTCAGTCTTTTTGAGAAAAGGTCTCCCTATAGCCCCAGCTGGCTTGGTACTCCCTGTGTAGACTAGGCTGGCCTTGAACTCACAAGAGATCCTCCTGCCTCTGCCTCCTGAGTGCTGGAACTAAAGGCATGCGCCACCATGCCTGGCTCTGTGTTCTATTTTTGTGTCACATCCTCCCCCAACTCTCTCTCCCCAAGGTCTTATATATCCCAAGCTGGCCTCAAACTCCTTATATAGCAAAGGATGACCTTAAATTCCTGATTCTCTTGCCTCTGCTTCCCGAGTGCTGGGATTACAGGTATGCACCCACTCCCCTACCTGATTTTCACATGATGCTTGGGATCCAATCTGGAGCTTCATGCATACTAGGTAAGCCCGCCACCAACTGAGGCACATGCCCAGCCCACCTCCTGGACATCTCTCCCTTTGAAGTCCAGGTGGGATGGCATTCCACTCCCTGGTACCTCCCTGCGGCTTCCTGGCTGAACCCCACCACCCATGTCTCTTGCTGCTGGCACCGAGAAGCCTGCCATGCACGTGCAGTGTGGTTAGTGGGAGCATTCTGGCCCCAGTGCATCATCCCAGGCCACAAATGAGCTCTTAACACTTCTCATTTCACTGCAACTGGCTTCTCCATCTGTTTCCAGTTTCCAGACAACAATTTCTCGCCTCCTCCCATCTCCCGTACCCTCCCTACCCACGCTTCCATCTCACAGCCTATGGCTTCAACTCACACTCTACGAGAAAACAGAAACTCCAGTCAGGCACGTTCCCATCTTCATCTTCCCAAATCCCCAATCCATGCCCCCACATACCTCCCGGGTCTTTGCCCCATCCCACCCTGCAGTTCAGAGCACCAGACCCCTTCAGAGGACATCCTCTTTCTTATGCTACATCAGTCTCTTCTTCCTGCCATTGGCGTCACAGACCAACATGTTCTAGAATTTTCCATGTCTGAAAATGGCTACTTTAGCCTCATGCTTTACCAGATACTACCAAATTGGTTGACTTCTCTTCAGAGCCAAAACCTTATTTTTTCTAGACAGGGTCTTGCTACCTAGCCCAAGCTGGCCTCTACCTTGTGACACTCCTACCTCAGCCTCCTGAGTGCTAGCATCACAGGTATGAGACACTACACTGTTTTCAGAGCCAAGGCCCTTGGAAGAGCTCCCGTATGCCCCTTGCGTCTACTCCGCTTCACTCCCATTGAGCTTCTGCTTTCTTCTCCACTGTCAACCATCTTGTCAAACTTGACCTCCCAGGTCATTTCTCTACCTAGTGGTGATAGTAGGTGAGCTGGTCTCCCAGAAGCCCTTGCCCCTGCTCATTTCTGGACACCCCTCCCCTCCCTCAGTTCCTCCCATCTCACTGTCTATTCCTCTGACTCCCTGCTCTTCCTTTCCAGCTTGACAGTTTAGCCTTGGAGCTCCTTCAGGCACTGGCCTGGGCCCTCTCCTGTAGGCATACTCCCCGGGGGTGGGTTTATCCTGCCTCAGCTTTCCACACCATCACAGTACAAAAAACTCCCGAATCCAGTTCTCCCAAAGGCCTTCTTTCCCAAGCTCAGCCTCATATCTAAGAGTCTGACCAACAAGCCCATCTGGGTATTTCTCCTAATACCTCAAACCTCCCCAAGTCCAAAGCATGCCTGAGACTCCTCCTTCTCATTGGCAGCATGAGCTGCCAGTGCCATACCATGTGCCCTTACCCAGTCACTCCAGTGCCCCCGTCTGACTCCTACTAGATGCTGTAAGTTTCTCAGCATGAGGTGCCAACTGTGCACGTGCATATGGTTAGAGAGAAGCACAGAGAAAGTACTGCTTCTGGAACATGCCTCAGCCAATGGCCAAGAGCAGCTGGTGTTCACAGACCAGGGCTGGGTGACTCTGAGGTTCCCAATTTCCTTGGTCACATTAAGTCATTCAGCAAAAGCTGCGTATGGTGGCCAGTCACTCGATGACATCCTTGCTATTGGATGCTTTCTCTTCCCTGTTCCCTCCCACCTCCTCTCCTCAGTCCTATCACAGACTCTGCTTTGCAGTGTGGGATGCTAAATAAAAGCACTTTCTAGCTGGAGCCTTCCTCATCTTGGTAAAAGGCACCCAGATCCCAGGCAGCATCCTTGCCCCTCATCCTCATGGATCACAATGTGTCCTGTGGATTTTCTCTCTGAAATAGGTTTGAATCCATCACGTCTCCCATCTCCACGAGGCCTCCAGGCAGGTAACTACTCCATATCCCAGCCTAGAAGAGGTACTGGTAGGGACAGAGAAGCAGAGACTCACCAGTGACTAGCAGCTCAGCCCGGCTATTGCTGGTATGATGCAAGTTCCGGCAGGTACAGATGTAGACACCAGCATCAGAGGGCTGCACACTAGGGAAGTGGAGCTCAGAGCCTGGTGATAGGAGGGGCTTGTCAGGGACCAGCTCCACATGTCCCAGTGTGCATGGGATAGGGCTGACACACAGTAGAGAAGTCTGGGGCTGTGCGTACCTTGATGTCGCTGCTGAGCGCTGCTGGGCATGGGTCGCCCATCCTCTCGGGACCAGTAGAAGTAGTGGGGTGGAGTTCCACTGACCTGGCACCGTAGGGAGTGCGAGCCACCTTGGGGAACCACACTCCGAGAGGGATGGACCTGGACCACCAGCGAGGCTCCCTCTGCTGGAGTGGGAAAAGAAGCCATTTAGCCAGGAGGGCTCCAGCATGCAGCAAGTATCTCAGATACTGCTCTCCCAAAGCCTCAGATGCCCAACCTCAGCCCCGTATCCCTCACCCGTGTCCTGGTCTCCCTTCTGTGGCAAACACTGGCCTCCTTGCACGTTGGGGTTACCCGAGTAGCCTGAAGCACACCTGTCAGGAGGAACAGGAACCAGCTCTGTAAACCCCAAGGGACTCAGTGCCTCATGGTAAATTTGGGAAGCCAACTCCCCAGTGGGATGAGGAGAAAGCTCATGGCTCTAGAAGGGCTCTGGGGACCTGAGAGGCCCCAACACTGGGCCTCAGTGAACTGAGACAAGAGAGTATAAGGGAGTTGCTAGCAGGTAGGGGAATGAAGGAGATAAGCCTGCTATTCTCCAGAGAAGCACTCATCCAAAGAAATGCTTATTTGGCTACTATTTGCTGGTCACTGGCCTCGGTGTGGAGCTACAAGGAACATGGTGAGGGCTCTGGTCTTGTGGACTAGCTGGAAACTCAGCATGGAAATGCTATGGAAAACAAGAGCGAGAGAAGGGCACGAGGGCCACAGGGACCCTGAGAGGAGTGTTAATCCAGAACTGAGGTCAGAGAGGTTTCTGGGAGGTTGGGGGTGTGTATGCCTCTCCAGGTCCCTAGAGCAGGCTGCATGCTCCTTCCAGAAAATTGGTCATCTTTGGAAACACATATCTCATGTTCATTTTTTCAGGTTGCAGACTCTGTAGGGCTGACACAGAATCTGTCTACCACTTTATCCCCTAATGCCTCAGCACATGGCATAGCATACAGTAGATGCTCAATAAAAACATGGCAAGCCAGGCATGGAGGCCCATATCTGTCATCACAGCACTTGGGAGGCTGAGGCAGGAAGAGTGAGGTTTCAGGCCAGCCTAGACTATACAAAGTTGGAAGCCAGCTTAGGCTGTATCATGAGGTCCTGTCTCAACCTGCCCATTCCCCAAAAAAGTATGGAATGGTTACATGGGGTTGAATCTTGAAGACCAAATGGGAGTTGGCCAGAAAGGGGAGGGTTTGGGGGGTAAAATTATACACAAGGAAGAGCACATCAAGATCTGAACACTAAGAATTCAAGAAGCTACCAGACATGGTGGCACACACCTGAAATCCCAACACTGGAGAGCAGGGTAGAGGAGGAGGCTACTTGGGCTACATAGTGAGTTTAAGGTCAACCTGGGCTACATAGTGAGACTCTGTGTCATAACAAACAAGAGCAAAGCAAAAAACCCATATCATTCAAGGAGTTTGGCCTCGCTGGTATGTGACGTGGGATGAGCCTGCTTGTACACCATGAGTCTAGAAGGGTTCTGGGCAGGGAAAAGACATGATCCTAGTAGAGCCTTTCCTGAGCCACACCATTCAGGGCTCCCACTTGGTTGTTATCGTTCACCTCCTCCCTTCCCCCATCCTGTCTGCAAACTTACTGCTCGCAGTACTGGCCGGTGTAGCCGGGTTCGCAGGCAGTGCAGCGGTACCCCCCAGCTCCCAGGCTCTCACAGGTGCGGGAGAACCTGGGGAAAGGGGAGACAAATATTAGGTCATTGGAGTCCCCTCCCCATCCTACCTCCCACCTTCCAGTGGGAGTTCACCCTTGGATTTGGGTAAGGGCACCCACATGTTCTCTGGGTTGGTCAGAGGGCAGGCACAGGGCTGGCAGTCCTCAGGCGTCCCGGCTGTAGCATCTCCATGGTAACCAGGCGCACACAGCTCACAGAACTCTCCGGCAGTGTTGTGCTGACATTGCTGTGGGGTACAAGGGTGTCAGACACCAGCAATGAAGCCAAACTGACCAAAGGCCTTCAGTGTAGCAACCCCTTGATTTAATCACTTGATCTGTGGACTTTTTTTTTTTGTTGAGACAAGCTCTCACTATGTGGCAGATCTCTGAGATCGAGGCTAGCCCAGTTTACATACTGAGTTCCAGGCTAGTCAGGGCTACATAGTGAGATTCTGTCTCCAAAAACAAAACCAAAAAAGTATATCCAGAGTTGAGTGTGGTGGTGAAAACCTATAATCCCACTCACTACTTGGGAGGTGGAAGCAGGAGGATCAGGAGTTCAAGGTCATCTATGGCTACATAGTGAGTTTGACTCAGGAAAAAAAATACATATAATATATATCTTCACCCCACCACCCAGATGGCCATCAAAAGGACAACACTGATCATATTTTTTACATTTTTCTGTTAAAAACCTGTGACAGTAAAAGAAAGCAATTTGGGCACAGAGCCTTGAAGATAAAGGCTCATGGTAAAAACATGTATAGTGTGTATGGGAGGTGTAGAGTCTCCTCCAAAGAGAGTCATGTGTGTGGTATTAACATAGTGTGTTGTTTAGGGCTCTGTTAACCACCTATGCCCTGACCATGCATCCAGGAGGCCATATACACACAACTCTGAGAAGTGTATAGAAAAATTTAAATATTTGCACAAGGTCATGGGCTTGATTCGCAGCACCACAAAATAAAAATAAAAATACGACAAGAACTATAATCTGCCTTTGACAGATAACACCTGCTATTTGGTAGAAGAAATGAAGAAAGATGGCTCAGAGGTAGAGCACTTGTTGCTCTTGCAGAGGACCTAGGTTTGGTTCAAGCACCCACAGGGCAGTTCATAATCATCTGTAAGCCCAGTTTTAGGGAATCTGACACTCTCTTCTGGTCTCTTCCACACATGTGGTATACATATACACATGCAGGCAAAACATTCATATACATAAAATAAAAATAAATGCATCTAAAAAAAGAAAGGAATAATGACGAGCACAGAGCCACCACTTTCTTTACAAAGAAGGATGGCAGTCCGTAGTTCAGCCTCCCCACCATGTCTACATGGTCCACTGGCCTGGGCGTTGTTTCTTGTGAACTCGCCCACCTTACCAATGAGACCCTTCCCCATTCCGCACTCAGCCCAGCAGCTCACCCCTGGCCTAGCCCTGCTTGCATCTTACCGAGCAGGCACCAGTCTCCGGGTGACACAGGTCCGAGTGGCCGTTGCATTCACACAACTCACAGTGACCAAGGTAGAGCCCACTCCCAGTGCGCGTATACCCTGAGGCGCAGTCCTGAGGGACAGAGAAACATTGGTCTCCGATTCCCACAAAGCTGTGTTTAGGACAGGAGGCTGAGTCTGCTGGCTCTCCTGCGGCTCTTTAATGGGGCATCCCAGGTCAGCCTCCAACTGCAACCTCTCTCAGCCGTCTGTCCACCTCTCATCTTCACTCCCATCTCCCATAGCTCCAGAAGCAGGTAGAGCTTGGTATGCCCAGTAGTGTGTGAGCTTAGTGTTAACAGGAGTGCACCCAGAATGGGAAATTGTTTCATCTCAGACCCTTGTTCCTGAAAGTTCTGGTGGGAAAGGTCTCTATGGAAAAACTTCACAGCTATGGAGAAGCAGGCTGGGGAGACTAGGGAAGGTTGGGACCCCTGATGTTCCTCCCTCCCTCCCTCCCTCCCTCCCCCCCCATTGGGTGTGGGGTGTGTGTGTGTGTGTGTGTGTGTGTGTGTGTGTATGTATGTATGTATGTATGTATACATGCATGTGGAGGCCAGAGGTCAATATCAGGCATCTCAATTTCACCCCCATATGTGTATGTGCCACAGCACAAGTGTGGAGGTCAGAGGGCAACTTTCCTCCCACCATGTGGGTCCTGGGGTGACACCTGAGATGAACATTCAGTTGGTCAAGTTTTTTTTTTTTTTGAGACAGGGTCTCAGGGTCTTCCTGTAGCCCTGGCTGGCTTGGAACTTACTACGTAGACCAGGCTGGCCTTGAACTCACAGATAGGCCAGGAGAGGCAGAGGCAGGTGGATCGCAGTACCTACAGTGCTACCCATTCCTTACTGTGCACCTGAGGTATGTCCCTGCTCTGCTCTGTTTGTGTGGGTCTTCTGGTCTCCGGTGTGCAATCTGAGGGTATGGGCTGTATCCTAATTGCTAGAGATGCCCCAAGCTTGAGGCAGAGTGCCTCCTAGTGATTAGTATGTGCTAGAATTTGGAGTCCATCAGATCTGGGCCTCAAATTAGTTTTTGCCGCTCACGGGCTGCATGTCTTCGGTAAGCCACCTATCCTGTGGCAATTCTTTTATTAGTTAAAGGTGTAGCTTGGCTGTGGAGGGAATAACTGCAGTAATGTGGAGGGTAGGGGTCACCTGAGTCTGAGAGCAGTCACAGCCTATAGCAATGGTTACTGACCAACAAGATTGTGGCACTAGAGTGGATTTAGCCAGCCATATACTTACTTACCTGGCAAGACAAACCAACATAGCCTGGGGGACAGCGGCACTCCTCCACCTCAAGAGCTTGGGGTCCACTAGAGGGACCCGGCTGGGCCACTTCCAGGCTCACAGTGCTGATACTGGCTGCCCGTGGCACTGAAGAGAACGTAGCCCGAACTAGGAGCTCATCCAAATCTGCCAGTGCCATGAGCAGGTGCTCACGGGTGGCTGGCTGCCCATCCGGCCGCCGCCAGAACTCCTGGGTGGGGGGACATCAAGTGTGGGTGAAGGTCCTGGGCTTGGACCACTGCTTTTGCAGCCTGCAACCCTTTGCTAAGGGGAGGATGGGCACCAAAGTCAGGCTTCCTTGGGCTGGGGGCATGACCAAGGGCCACTCACTTCTCGGAAGATGATCTCGTAGCTTCTCCTCTCGGGGCCATGCAGTGCTGGCTGGGAGGCTACCAGCATGATGTTGTTGCCCTGAAGAGACATCAGCAAAGTTGGAAGGGACACTCAGGGCTCCTAGACACAGGAGATGCCTGCCAGCTCCGGGCTTTCCCAACCACTTGGCCTCCCATCTGTCCACACCCCTCAGCCTATGTGCCTGAGAGTCAGGTACGCACCCACCGCCCCCATGGCCAGCAGCCAGGCTGAGGCCTGGGAAGTGGCCAGCTAGACCTTGGGAAGAGGCTCATATTTGGTCAGCTCCCGCCTTCCCTTCTGCACAGGCCTTGGACTCTAATAAAAGCTCACCGTGATCTGGATGTCGGGGTCAGAGAGTGGGCTGCCCTGAGGCCCTGATGTGTAAGAGAGGGTGTACCTCAGCTTCCCACCATAGGCTGCTACCTGCAGAGAGGAAAGAATATACAGGTGAGGAACCAAGCTTCCTGAGGACTTTGGCTCCTGTGTTGGACCCTCACCCCAGAGACCAGAGCTTGGCCTGTGGTTGCCTGGGAAACGCCCTTTCCTCCACCAGTCCCTCCCCAGTCTCACACATGATGAAGACCTCCTCCCCCTCCCCAACTTCCTGGCAATTCCAGACAATAAGCTCCAAGTCCCTTTTCATGCATAGGCATTTCCCATAGAGTGACTGGGGTACAGACAGTAACCCCCCATGAGGAGGCTGCCAAGGTTCAGAAGTTTTCAGCCCAGGGCATGGGGCTGCGGGGACCCTGTGGCTGTGGGGACCCTATGGCCTCGACTCCTGGGCAGCTGGCTTTTGGTTTACCCAGAATTTATTTCCCACTGTCTGTAAACTATATCCTTGTCTCTTTGAAGAATAACTCTTCCTGTACATGCAGGCCCCTCCTCCTCTGCAATAGACAGCAACCCAGGTCTGCCCAATCGCCAACAGTTCTTGTGGATGGGGTCAGACAGTTATGTAGAGTCAAACACAGACACGATGTGGCCATGTGCACCTCTCCCCACCTAGGGATGGACCAGGGCACATGGTCTTTTATCTAGGACAGAGAAACTCCCGTCAGCCATCAGATGGGAAGGTACTGTATAAAGCCAATTGAGAAAAAGCTGTAAGGAGCCCCTGGATCCAGCCATGCATGATACTAGATATGCCTGAACCCTACAGTTGCACAAATCAATACATTCTTTATTGTGGACGAGCCAGCTGGACTTGGTATCTGTAGGCATAACTGGAAGAGTGTTTTTGTTTCTTGCAAAGGGCTTTCATCCTGGCAGATGAGGCCCCAGCTCTGCCCACTGGACTTTCCTTTCTCTCCTCCTTCACCAGGGCAGACAGCCAGCTGAATATCACACAGCAAAGGGGCCACTTCCACTGGTTTACATGTGTTCATTCAGTGGGTGAGCACTTATGAAGCACCTGCTGACTACATGCCAAGGCCCAGAGTGACAAAAGTCTCGGGGCTGCTATCCACCAGCTAAGGGTGTGGTAAGGAACTCAAGGGCATAACTAGATTACAACTGAAACAACTGGTTTCCTGTTTGCACTGGATGCCAGCGAGTTCATAGCCATGTCTGGAACCAGCTTCCTAGGAGGTGGAAGGCGTATGCCACACAGGAATGAGAAGAAAGGAAGACTACAGTGTGAAAGGCTTGGGCTCAGACGCCAGCTCTGCCAGCTGCATATCCATGGACGGGTCACTTCAGCTCTCTGAGCCCTACTTTCCTCATCTGGACACAGGAGTAGAAATCAGACTTTGAAGGTACCATGAGGATTATGTAACAACATAACAACACCCTCAGTGTCCCACAGAGAACACATGTTGATGCAGCTCTCCGTTACTTCCGTACCAACCCTGATAACCCCACTTCACTTCCCCGAGGCCTGCCTGCCTGGCCTTTGAAAACAATCTTAGGAATATTATGCAACTCTGTCTCTTTTTTTCTTCTTCTGGTGCTAGAGACCAAACCCAGAACCCTAAGTGCTCCACCCCTGAGCTCAACCCCCAGCCCTCGTTATAACACTCTGAAGAGGCTCTTTGTGTCGTGTGGGGAACAAGGTGGCAAGGCCAGAGCACTGTCAAGACTAATGTGAAGGGTGATAGTGACAACAGGACTGTTGAGATGACTCAGTTGGTAATATGCTTGCCTCACAAACATGAGAACTTGAGGTTCTCCCCCCCCCAAAAATAACCCCACATTAACTGGGCATGGTGGTGTGCACTAATCCCAGCACTCAGAAGGCAGAGGCAGGCAGATCTCTGTGAGATCAAGGGCAGCCTGGTCTACATAGTGAGTTCCAGGCCAGCTGGGGCTACACGGAAACTCATCTCAAAAAACAAAAACAAAAACAAACACAACAAAAAAAACCCACAAAAACCAGAAACAAAACAACAACAAAAGCACATTAAAAAAAATAGCTGGATTTGGTGGCACATGCTTGTAATCCCAGCACTGGTAAGGAGGAGAGAGGCAGATCTCTAGCCAGCTTCATCTGCTAGGCAAGTTCCAGGCCAGTGAGAGACCCTGTCTCAAAAAAGGGGATGGTGCCTCTTGAATGACACCTCTTGAAGTAGTCCTCTGGTCTCCACACATAAACATGTGTACATGCACCCCAGTACACATGCATACACCTGCACATACATGAACATAAACACACACATACAAAAGACAGTAATACACAGAATGCAGACTGGTATCCAGACCAATGGAGGGTTCTGGGAGGCCAGCACCACACTTCCTCTGTAGGGGCAACACAGCATTCTGCAAGTGCCTAATAAGTGCACACCAAGCACAGGGAGAGGGGCTGCCCCATCCCCCACCCTTTGAAGATTCTTTGACCACCTGCAGCATTCCAATCTGGTTACCTTGTCCCCCAGGAAGGCTCGGGGTAGCTGCCAATAATAGAGGCTCCCGGGAAGCAGAGAGAAGCCTTTGTAGGAGAGTGAGAACTAAAACAGAAGGGCAAGAGGTGAGAGCGGGGGCAGACACCCCAGCAGGGTCCCAGAGCCCCTGCCCCAACCCGGCAGCATAGGTCCACCCTGTTCTCTGGGCTGCCTGCTTTCCTCTCTGGACAGGACACTCCAGGTCGGCATGATCTTGGTCAGTTTTTACCAGTGTGTCCTTCAGGTGGACCTCAAGATTAATGGGGCATACTGGTAAACACTAAAAAACTTAGTGGCCATAAATAAAAAACTTAGCCAAAGGGCTAGAACTGTAGCTTAGTTGGATGTGTTTGCCTAGCATGCATGAAGTCCTGGTTTTAATACTGAATACGGGATAAATGGCATGGTTGCACACACCCAGTATCCCAGCACTCAGGAGGTAGAAGCAGGAGGACCTTCAAGATCATCCTTGGCTACATAGTGATTTTGAAGGCATCCTGGGCTGAATGAAACTGTCTCTCTTTCACATATACAAATGTAGCTGGATGTGGTGGTGCATGCCTATAATCTAAGCACTTGAGAGACAGAGACAGGAGGATCAACACAAGTTCAAGGCCAACATGGTCTATATAGGGAGACACTTTCTTAAAAAAAAAGGTCTACATAGGAGGCAGGCACCGAGTTATTCCAGCTTTCAAGAGGCTGAGGAGGAGGATCCTGAGTTTGAAGTCGGCTCAGGCTTCAGTGAGACTGTCTCAAAACAAAAGCATAATTATAATGGAGTTGGTATATGGTGGAATCAAGGGGACATCTGAGGTCAATAATGGTCCAGGGAGTGTCAGGAAATCTCAACCTGATTCAGAAATGATTGTAGACTAGAAAGCACAGTGGATGGGTCCCTCAGTGAGTGATCGGTACATACCTGAGAACCTGCTGGGGACAGAGAAGTGAAGGAGGAGGAAGAGGAGGAGGAGGAGGAAGAGAAGGAGGAGGAGGAGGGATGACTTGCTCGCAGAGCGGAAGCAGGCTGGGAGTGGGGGTGAGGGCGGAGCCCATGGGGAGGGGGAGGGGGTTGGGCAGCAAAGTTGGAGAGGAGCTGCCAGATCTCAGCATCCATCCGCCTCTGGGCCTCATCCACCTGGGGGACCAGGAAAGGAAGGACAGAGGACAGGGGAGAGGTACAGAAGGACACCCATGAGGCTCTACCTTGCCCCAGGCTGTGCTAGCCCTACCTAGCCAGTCCCTCAGTGTAGTTCACCCATGTACCTGTGCTGATGCCCCCGACTCTTCCATCCTTGTGCCCTTCACCTTCTCACTCTTAGGCATCAGGTGGGGATCCTGGGATAAGTAGCTGACTATGAGCTGAGACTACTGGGGAGGAGCCCTGCCAAGGGTGCCCAGTAAGGGAGAGGCAGAAAATTCTGTGCAGCAAAGGTTGGCAGCAAGTAGTGTGTGAGTTTGTGGGGAAGGAGGACTGTCCACAGTACCAGCCTGTGCCATTCTATGGTGTTTGTAGAATACTGGAGAAGGCTGGGCTGCATACTGGGCCTGGACAGGCAGGGGGAAGGTGGCCCATGAAGGCCAGGGTCTTGGTTCAAGGACTGATTCCTAGGGCCCCAGATGCAGTCTGCCCTGCCAGGCCCTGAGTTACCTGTGATGCCTGCTGTGCCCGGCCCCTGACCTCTGTGGGCCCCGGGATCCTCCCTGCTGCCACAGCTGCCCGCCACTGCTCCTCTGAGAGGGTTGTACGGTTCTGATGGATGGAGGTCACAGGCCAGCTCAACCTCACAGGGCTCAGACCTAGAGCCATGGGGACAGTCTCTCCCCATGGACATGGTGGTAGGAGGGCCACACTAATTGGTGAGGGAGCATGCCCCCTTTTGTGGCTGGAACACAGGCTTACTCCAGGCTACTGGAGGGGCACATGCATGGAGGTTAATGATGACTGCCTGCAAGGCGATACATGGGGAAACTGAGGGGTCAGGCATAGTCACGAGCGTTAGCATTAAGTTAGTTTTCTTAGCCTCAGACCTCAAACTGTTGGCACCAGAACCAGACCATGTGGCTGGAGGGGCACAGAGTAGCACACACCTCTCTAGGCTCTCATGGTGACAGTACAGCCCTTGTCCTGGATACAGGGCATCTCCTATGCAGGGCTAAGGGAAACCATGAACACACCATGCAAGGTACTCCCATTTCACACCATTCAGCAAAGGGGCATACCTGGTGAGCCCGGCGCAGCCTCGCAAAGTATGCCTCCCTCTGTGAGGCACCAAGAAGTGCCAGGGGAAGAGACATAAAGGTCTGAGGGATGCCAGGAAAGAAAGAATGGAGAGGAAGAAGACACCAGAAAGCAGTTGGGCTGGCTAGAGGGCTGCCACCTGGATCTGTCCAAGAAGCAGTGACCAGGAGGCCCCTGGGCCTCACTCCTGAGCAGACTGGGGTATGGCTGTGGGAGCACTGGCCTCAGTCAGTAGGGGTTCCCATGCTGACTCCTGCTTCCCCTGAAACCATGGCCATGACTGTTTGAGGAGCACATGTAGGCAGGCTGCCCTGGAGTTCACCTCTCAGCTCTGCCCCTTATGACACCATCCTGGGCACCACTGCCTCCTTAGTAGGCCTCATTCCAGAGTAGAAAAGATAAGTCCTTTCTGACTAGCCCAGGCTTTGAAAGGCAGCTCTGACCTGGATGTGAATCCTACCATTGCCACCCACTAGTTGTGGGGCTCAAGTAAGTTCCCTGACCCCTCTGGTTTTATTTTCCTCTGTTAAGAAAGGCAGTGGGGCTGGCTGGTTCATGCAGTGGTGACTTAAGATGCACAAATGAGTGTGTAGTCACAACTCAGTAAAAAATGACCTCTTGAGAATCACACACACCAGCACCCAGTACCCAGCTGCAGCATGGATGAGTGCACAGAGGAATGACTGAAACCATCTCACTGTGCAAGTCCTGAGACCTGGTCTGAAAGTTCAATCATCACCAGCTGAGCACCCAGTATGCGTCAGGCAAGATCCAATCTTCCCAGCGACTCTGAGCTGGGAAAGTCAGGTGTCCAGCTGGTGAACATCTGCTGAGATGCAGCCTGAGGTCTGCTGGACCCCAAAGGCCACACACTCATGATGTGGCAGCCACACGGCAGACCACGGCAGATGAACTTGTGTCTGAGTCTCTGTTGACCTTGTGCTTGACAAGGGCCTGGCTTAGAGTTGGCACTCAGGGAGGGGTTGCAGGCCCCACTCATGTCCCACCTTGTCTCCCTGGTATGTCTCTGGCAGCTGCCAGTAGAAGGATTCATGGCCGAGGTGGGCAAAGTTGCCAAAAGAGAGCTGGGCCCCTTCGGGCACTGGTTCCACGGTGAAGCCCCCTGTCAAGCGGCTGTTTCGCTGTGGGTTCACCAGGGCAAAGCCTTGGAAGTCCCCAGGGGCAAATCGGGTGGAGATCTGGAAACAGAAAGAAGAGGTGGGGTTAGCTAGGTAATGGAGCAGGCACCTCAGGGGTGGCTAGGGCATAGAACAATGTCAAAACAGGAGGACATGGGGCTTGCTGAGACCAGGCTAGGAGGGAAACGACATCCCCAGGATCTCAGGAGGATGATGCAGTGTGCTCAGAGCTGATGTGAGGAGTAACAGAGGCCTGGGGAGGTCTTGGTAGAGGGATCAAGCCACTGGGCTTGGTGCTGAGTAACACAGACTGGGAGATCTGGTGTATCCTGGGCAGCTAGGACCCAGGTGGGGCAGTGCTCTTGACCTGCAGGGGGCAGACTGGCTCTTACCAGGTGACGTGTATAAGAAGAGCTGGTACACTGCTGGGTGACACCCATGCAGAAGCAGGGCAGGCAGCCGTCTGGGTTGCTAGCACTCAGGTAGAAATGATGGGGCCGGCAGTGGCTACAAGTGAGGCCTTCTGCCTGAGCCTGGGGGAGACAGACAAAATGATGTGTGAGGGGACTTTTGGGGGTCTGCTGCTTCCTAGCAGTCCCTAAGACCAGCCTTCTCAACCATTTCTGGAGTTATAGGCAGTCCAGCCTACCCAACACTAGGCTCCAAGACCCCTGGGTGCCACCAGACTTTGCTCCAGGAGCCAGTAGTGGGTAGAGCTAGGCCTCATGGAAGGCGGGGTTTTGAACTGACCTTGCATTGGCACTGACCAGAGGCATCGCACTGGCTGCTGATGCTGCCCTGGGGGTCACAGCCACAGCCTGGCACTTCCGGCATCTGACCATCTCCTGAGATGGAGAGAAGGCACAGCTGGAATCCTCAAATGCACCACCAAGCACCCCAGCCCTCTCTGTCACTCAGCACTAAGAAGACTGCTGCCTCTACTTTTGAGACATAGGTGGGACCTCTTCCTACTCCCATGTATCAGGTGGAAGAAGATGAGGCACAGAGCCACCATCCCAGGGTCCCAAGGGAACAAGGGCTCTATCCTAGAGCCACCTGGAGAGAAAAGCAGTCCGACCCAATACCTTCCCAAGCCTGCAACTGTACTCACTGCGACAGGGCTGGCCTTGACTAGGGTTGCCATAGTAACCTGGGGCACACCTGCAGAGAGAGAAAATGTGGAGTAATGAGAAGCCAGCGGAGAGCCTAGGCCAAGGGGAGTTTAGGGTTGGACTCCATCCCACAGCACACCCACTTTATAGACAAAGAGATGGGTAAACAAGAACAGAGGCCAAGACCACAGCCAGAGAACTGGCTCTATTAGGCCTTGACCCAAAGGGTCAAGATCAAGGGGTCTAATATTGGGTGTGGTCATGTAAATCTATAATCCCAAGATTCAGGAGATGCAAGTAGGAAGATCAGTAGTTCAAGGTCATCCAGAACTACATAATAAATTTGAGGCTAGCCTGGGCTACATAAGATCTTCTCTCAAAATAAACAAAATTTAAAAAAGCAAGGGGTCTGGTAGGAGGACTCTGGCCTGGATGGGTAAGGGGCCGGATTGGGAGACGGGCTGCAGGCCAATGCCAAGCTGCAGGATAAGGCTCCCAAAGAAGGAGCTGACCACCTTTGAAATCCCCTGCAACAAGGGGCAGGAGTCACAGGCTGTTTATGGGTAAGAAGGTAGGGGTCGTCCTGTAACTGTGGTGGGTCACCTGTCCTCTTGATCAAGGAGTCTGTGGAGACCCCGCCAGATGGACCTGAACCAGTGCCAAGTCTACAAAGAGGAGGGTCAACTCAGAGGAATCATTTCCTCCATGCTTCCAAGCAAAGTCAACCATGGTCGAGCAGGACCTTTGACTTATCTTCACATAGATGGAACTGGTAAAAGAAAGGAGCCAGGGCTCCTCCCAAGCCCATGTGACCCCTGAGGAACAGATCCCCAAACGACCTTAAAACTAAATTGTTTTATCTGGGCCAAGTGTAGGGTCTTAAACACCCAAAAGGAACGTATAACCAAAGATTAATGGGATCAATATAACTTTTAAGAGTCCATATGTATAGCTAAAGACTACGTAACAAGAAACAATGCCAGACAGGAGATACCTTCCTTTGAGTTATTGGCCAAGGTGACTCAAGAGACTCCCAGACAGTAACCCAGCAAGGAATATTGACAACTGACTGCTGCTAGATGAGGAACTCCTGATCTTCCTAAAACAAGGATCTCTAGATAGGCTGACTAGATTCAGCAGATGGACAAGCACTGGAGAATGGCTGGGGGTGTCAACAACACAGAGGACAGTAACAGGGATGACAGAGTATGTGGGCTCCAGTATGTGGGAGGGGGGAGGCTATGGGAGGGACCCATTTGGGAAGTGGGTATGTAGATGAATAAGATTGTGTGGGATGTTCTGTATGATATACACACAGAAAAATCAACAAATTTAAAAAAAGACATATTTGAGGAGGAAGCATAAAAATTTACTTCATATTAAATAGTAGAGGTGATAAACATTACCAGTGAAATCTACCTGACGACTTTGTATCCATACTCAGGTACTAAGGATCCGAGTGTAATCGACTGTGACTAGTAATCATCAGATACATAGAAATTAAAGACACACGTGCAAACATCTGAGTGTATTGAAAATGTAGGAAACTGGCCAGGTGTGGTGGTGCACGCCTTTAATCCCAGCACTTGGGAGGCAGAGGCAGGTGGGAGGAGAGACTTTGCAGGTGGAGCTGGGAGGATAAAAGAGGCTGGGGGAGTCAAGGTGTGGACATGCTGGACTTACCGAAGGAAGGTGCTGGGACCAGGATACTGGAGGCTGTGCAGCCCAGGGAAGTAAAGGGCAAGATCTTTTTTTAAAGGTTCAAAACTCATTCAATTTTATACCTTACAGGGTTTATACTGAGTTCAATGTTGTATAACCTTATAAATTCAACTGTGAACCTAAAAATTTACAGCCACTTTTGAAAGAGATGTATCCTTGCTCTGGAGTGTGTTACTGAATATGTTAAAACTGTAATGAAATGCTTCTTCTAATCATGTGGTTATTAAATTTAAATATATTTTATTATTTTTATTTTATGTGTATATGTATGAGTGTATTGCCTGCATGTAGAGTGCACCTGTGTCATGCAGTGCCACAGAGGTCAGAAGAGGGTGTCAGATTCCCCTGGAACTGGAGGTAAGGACAGTTCGTAGCTGCCATGTTGGGTGCTGGGAATCGAACCTGGGTCCTCTGCAAGAGCAGTCAGTGCTCTTAACCTCTGAGCCATCTCTCCAGCCCCGTGGTTATTAAATTTTTAAAAAAGGAGAAAAAAATAATTCTTCAAAGCATAAAAATTTGCTCCTTAATAATTAGTAGATGTGAAAAAATTACCATTGACGTCTACCTGATGACTTTCTATCCATGCTCAGATGCCAAGGAGCTCAGAAAGTAACTGACCAAAACTAGTAATAATCAGATATATAGAGATTAGAAATGCATGTGCAAACATCT